ACTGTCTCATCTTTCTCCTGAAGAGAAGCTGGTGGGTTTGAATCAGTGACCATCTCGTTAGCAGCCAAATGCTTTAACTAGTGCAAATGTAGGTGGTTATTGTATGTAGCAAGATTCACAAAAGGGTTAATAATGGTCCCAAAGTGCAAGAGTAGTGATGCTGGGAATTCAGATATGCCAAAGAAAAGCCATAAAATACTTCCTTTAAGTGAAAAGGTGAGTCTTGACTTAAGGAAAGAAAAAAGAAATCATATGCTGAGGTTGCTAAGATTATATTCACATAATGTTTATTACAGTATATAGTTATAATTGGTCTATTATTAGTTACTGTTGTAACTCTCACTGTGCCTAATTTATGTGTTAAACTTTATCATACATATGTATGTACAGGAAAAAGCATAGTGTATGTATAGGGTTCAGTACTATCTATGGTTTCAGGCATCCTCTGGAGGTCTTGGAACATATTTCCCATGGATAAGGGGGGGACTATTGTATCATGGACTGCCAGAAGAATGAACAAATCTATCCTGGAAGATGTACAGCCAGAATGCTCCTTAGAAATGAAGATGGTGAGACCTGTCTCACTTACTTCGTACATGTTATCAGGAGGGACCACTGGTCCCTGGAGAAGGACATCATGCTTGTTAAAACAGAGGGTCAGCAAAAAAGAAGAACACCCTCAATGAGATGGCTTGACACAGTGGCTGCAACAATGGGCTCAAACACAGCAATGATTGTGAGGATGGTGCACGACCAGGTAGCATTTTATTCTGCTGTACATAGTGTTGCTATGAGTTGGAACCAACTCAATGGTACCTAACAACAACAACAACAACAACAACATAGTACTTATCTTCTAGCACACTATTTAATATATATTGCTTATTATATATCTCTCTCAACTAAAATGTAAGCTACATGATACAGGGTTCTTTGTTGGCTCATCTATGAAACAGAAATGCCTAGAACAGTGCCTCACACACCATTAGGCACTCAAATATTTGCTGAATAAATGTAACTCCTTAGAGTAAAAGTTTGAAGTCTAATTTTGGTAAGAGTTTTAGAAAATGCACACTCTAAACTCTAGGTAATGAAAATACGAACCATTGCCCTACAAATGAGAAATCTACTTCAGAACATTTCATACCTCCATCTTTCTACCCATCATCCATCAATCAATTTATATATTGTCTGTCTGCCCCATCAGTGGGGTAGGAGATCTAAGGATGAAACAATTTGAGCTTACAATCCACTAGAGAAGATAAAACTTGTAGATAAGTAATTATGATGGATGGTAGAATGTGATAATTCATCTGTCCCACAAGCCACTACTTCTACTTCAAGCAGTTGAATTCCTGTATCTCTGATGTCTCAGAAATCTTTACCTGTATGCCTACAAAAATAATTTTCAAATCTATCTACCAGAATTTATTCATTCAAATACATCTTTCACTACCAAAATGAGTTATACTTAGTCCAGCAACAAGGTCATTCAATCAAATCATCCTAGAATCTCAGAGACCATCCCCTGTCAGTTGTTGAGCCACACAAGGACACAGGCCTGCTAACTTTAGAGTTATGGCTTGTTTCCACTCAGGATGGTTATCATCCAGCTTCAGCACTCACCTTATTAATCAGATCAAAGGATGAAAATTAACTTCCACTATGGATATCAAAAGATGAAGCTGAAGAGTCCAGAGACAATGCCAAAAAAATAGTTCCAGAAATAGTCTGTATAATGGCAGAGCCCTAGAAGTGAGCAGGTAGCCTCCTGAGTGACTTGCTGGTTGACAGGCACTGTCACTGGGAGGGTGAATCCGGTCAATTTGGTGTTATTCCACTCCACCATTCTCATGGAGACTTACCTGAATACAAGCCCCTGTCTTCAACTTACACAGGCTGCAAACTAAGGCCCATCGACTGGGTGGGATGTGGGAGACTTTTGTGATGGGTTCCATTCTCTCAGGACAAGCAATGCTGACCTATAAATAAAACACCACCATAAGGCAAAGGCACCAAGGCATTCCAGAAGTACATTTCACAAATCATAAGTGATTTGTGAAATCTTTCACAGGCTCAGAACATGAAAACAATAAGGCGAGCCACATCTCTTAAGGTTAATATGGAACCAGAAATAAATAAATAAAACTCACTGCTCAGATCTTCAATCACTTTCAGTAATGTAAAAGGTGAGATGGCAGAAGTATAGAGTGAGAATAGTTACTTTTTTTGGGGGGGGGGTGTATGTGTAAATAGTATTTAGTCATTTAAAAAATTTCTGTTATTCCATTATAGAATACATTACTATTTATTCATTCTCTTGTTTATTGGATTGGGCATCTGGATTGTTCTCAGCTTTTGGCAATCACAAATAATGCTACGGTGAACATTCTTTCACAAGTCTTTTCATAAATGAATCTTTTCATTTCTCTTGCGAATATAACTTAATTTCCAGAATTACTGGTTGTATATGTTTAGTTTTATAATAAATTACCAAACATTTTGACAGTGAGTTTACCTTTTTTGCATAGCTATCAGCAAACTGTGAGAATTCTGGTTGCTCCATACCACTGCCATCATTTGGTACTTTAGTCTTTATTTATTATTATTTTATTTTTTGTTGTTGAAAATATACATGGCATAACATACACCAATATCAATAGTTTCTACATGTACAATTCAGTGACAATGATTACATTCTGCAAGTTGTGCAACCATTTGTACCCTCCTTTTCTGAGGTGTTTTTCTCCCATTAACATAAACTCATTACTCCCTCAGAGTACTGAATATACCATAGACTGCCTGAAGAATGAACAAATCTGTCTTGGAAAAAGAACAGCCAGAATGCTCCTTAAAAGTGAGGATGGAGACTCATGTAGTTTGGACACATTATCAGGAGGGACCAGTCCCTGGGGAAGGACATCATGCTTGGTAAAGTAGAGGGTCAGCAAAAAAGAGGAAGATCCTCAATGAGATGCATTGACACTGTGGCTGCAACAATGGGCTCAAACATGGCCAATGACTGTGAGGACAGCAGTGTTTTGTTCTGTTGTACACAGATTCACTCTGAGTCAAAACCAACTAGATGGCAACTAACCACAACAAAGATTCCTATCTAATCTTTCCAGTTGCTGCTGTCAATTTGATCCCATATAGATAGCTCTTGAAAGAATATGGGAGCTTTGGTGGCATAATGCCTAAGGCACTTAACTCCTAACCAAAGGCTGGAGGCTCAAGCCCACCAGCCACTCCTCGTAAGGAAGGTTGGACAATCTACTTCTGTAGAGATAACACCTCAGAAACCCAAGGAGGGGTTGCTATGAGTCGGGACTGACCCAATAGCAGTGAGTTTGAAAGAGCATAATGCTCAAGGCAGACATTTTTCTTACTAGTTAAGCTAAATTACTGTTTGGTTTTGAGGAGATTTCAAGGGATATTTGTGGTTTAAGATCTAAAGACTGTTTTGGGATTAATTTAACCTTCATAGCTCCAGGAAGTCTATTAGCCACTTATTCCATATCCTCCTCCTATTTCTGACTCTCCTTCTTCCTCTGTTGCTGAAGAGAGACCAATTGTGCCTTGGATGGTGCTTGGAAGCTTGTTAAGACCCCAGACACTACACAATGAACTAGGAGACAGAACAGAAGCACTACACATATTAGGCCAATTAACTGGGATGTACCATGAAACCATGACAGTAAACCTCCAAACCAAGAAACCGAATCCCAGGTGTTTTTGGTAGTATATAAGCAGCCTCAGCAGCTACTCTTTTCTTATTGTCACTGTTCTGGTTACCTAGTGCTGGTCTGACAAGAATATACCACAAATGGGATGGCTTCAACAAACAGGAGTTTATTTTCTTACAGTTTTGGAGGCTAGAAGCCAAGTTCAAAGTGCCAGGCTAAAGGGGCTGTGTGAAAGCCCCTCGACCTTGGGCTTCAGCTCTACCTCTTGCTCCTAGCACACTGAAGCTAGAGGCATCTCTTTACTCAGGCAGCCTCAGCTGCTGAGGCTAACAAGCCCAAGGTCGACAAACAAACGGCACAGTCCCGATGTTACCAAACCACACGACAGGCTATAACTCAAGTCCAACGTCGGCAGAGCATGGCAGGCTGCTGAACAATGACACGGCTACATGCAGGGTTCAAATGTGGCATAAGCTAGAGACCATTCCCAAAGCTGTTTCTTATATACGGGAAGCAGTTCACATACCCAAAGCAGCTACTCAGCTGCTCCAATAGATTCCACCATGGAGTTAATTACCAATCTCACCATGGGGAATAACTACATCCAGCTGCCCAGCCACTCAACCAGCCCAGCCAAGTTGATATACAAACATAACCACCACAGTCACTATTGGTGTAAATGTATTTCTCATACAACTTTTGCCAGTTCAATTTTTTATAGCTGCACAACTTATTGACAGCAATTACAATAATCAGCTGTGCAACCCTACCCTTAATCAATGTGATAGTTCCATTACCATTAACCTCCTCTTTTCCCCTTCCTCCCACCCCTAGTAACCACTAATGAACTCTGTTCTCTATTTGTCTTTTAAGTCATACAGTATTTGTCCTTTCGTGATTGACTGATTTCACTCAGCGTAACATCTTCCAGCTCTATCCATCTTGTACTATGTATCGAGACTTCATTTCTCGTACTGGCTGAGTAGTATTCCATTTTATATACAGGCATACTTTGGAGATACTGCAGTTTTTGCTCCAGACCACCTCAATAAAACAAGTATCGCAATAAACTGCGCCATATATATTTTTTTGTTTCCCACCGCATATAGAAGTTATGTTTACATCATAGTCTATTAAGTGTACAATAGCAATATGAAAAATTTGAACTATTGTGAGAATTACCAAATTATGACAGAGAGACATGAAGTGAGCACACACTGTTGGAAAAATGGTACCAAGAGACTTACTCGACACAGGGTTGCCAGAAACCTGCAATTTATAAAATAACGCAATGTCTGTGAAGTGCAATGAAAGAAGGTATGCCTGTATTTACCACATTTTGTTTATCCAGTCATCATTTGTTGACGGGCATTTAGGTTATCTCTACCTTCTGGCTATTGCGAATAGTCTTGCAATGAACACTGGTATACAATTCTCTTTTTGAGTCTCTGCTTTCAAATCTTTTGGGCATATACCTAAGAGTCGAATTGTTGGGACATATGGTAGTCTATTTTTAGGTTTTTTGAGAAATTGCCATTGTTTCCCACAATGACTATACCATTTTGCATTCCCTCCATCAATGGATAAGGGTTCCAATTTTTCCACATCCTTGCCAACATTTGTTATTTTCTGGTAACGAATCTTAGCCATCTTTGTGGGAGTGAAGTGATATCTCACTGTGGGTTTGATTTGCATCTCTCTAATGGGCTAATGATGCTAAGCATCTTTCCATGTGTTTGGTTGCCATCTGTATGTCTTCTTTAGTGAAACGTCTATTCAAGTCCTTTGCCCATTTTGTGATTGAATTATTTTTCTTTTTGTTGTTAGGTTGTTGAAGTTTTACATATATTTTGGTTATTACACTCTTATTGGATATATGGTTTCCAAAGATACTCTCCCAGTTGGTAGCTTGTCTTTTTGCTTTTGGGAACAGGAACCAAAGAAAGCTAATAAGGAAGGGAATTAAAATTCAAAAAATCTAGAACCTATCTTACGTTAGGAGCTCTGGTGGCATAATGCTTAAGGCATTTGACTGCTAAACAGAAGGCTGGCAGTTCAAACCCACCAGCCACTCCTCGGAAAGAAGATTGGGCAATTTACTTCTGTAGAGATACTACCTTGGAAACCCAAAGAGAGGTCACTATGAGTCAAAATCGACTTGACAGTGGTGATTTTGGTTTTGGTTTTTTGATCTTACGTTAGAGATGGTGCTAGATGCTCTGTTATTTCATTTAATCAAATATGGATGAAAAAGCGAGGCAGGGATAAGCCTTTGCAGTTCAGCATGATATTGTTAGAAAGTAACAACATTTAGGTAATGAGGAAATTGTAGAGGATGTTAAATAGAAAGGTTAAGGACAATAACATTTTTAAATCAAAGTCTTTTAAACCACACAACTATCATCAGCTTACCCTACTCCCTCAGCCTAAGTAGCTTGAAAGTGAAATTAGTCTTTGGGAAAATGCTGAAAGGAAAGGGATACTTTAAAAAAAGATATATTTTTTTCCCAAAAAATTAAAGTAAGGGGTCAAGCAACTACTGGTAAAAAGTGTTTTGAAATTTTTTTCCCAAATATATACTTAAGTTTCTAAGAGACAGTGTTAAAAAGTAAAGGACTACTGAATAAGGATGGTCAAACTAGTAAGTATATGCTCTACCTACATCAGGCAACCAACAGTAGAAAGATCAGAGAGATCTTAAACAGTCCCTAAGAGAATGCTAGCAGGTGACAAAGCTTCTTTTACTTTTAAAGAACACTTTCGGAGTCATATTCTCTAGACTTCTATGTGTTGAGAGAACCTAGTCTATTAGCTAGGGCACTTGTTGCAGCAAATCAGTCACTCTTGGCCAGAAATCTTGAGAGTTCATTTCATATGTCTGTAAGCTGGATGTTCTTAGTGAGAAAACAAAACAACTACTATTCAAAATTTTTTTAAAATTCTGACTCCTATATATATATATCAGAATAAAAAAGCATGGATCTAGGACTGTTAGTGTAACCTAGTGAGCTTAATTATTAGGTAATAACTGCCCTGGAATCAACATTAACAAGAATGAAGGGAGTTTTAAAGGGAAATAAATTATTGACATACTATTACCAGCTCCCCATCAACTAAACTCTGCAGTTTGTCTCCTTACTCAGTTAAATTGCCTAACAACTTTACCGGTTTGGATGGGGGCTGGGGAGAGAGGATGTGTGTGGGATATCCAGCTGAAAAAAGGGAGCCATAAGAAGTAGATGAAATGCCTGGAAGCCTGTTTTAATCAACTCAGTGTGTATGTAGCCTCTGAGAAATTAGGAGCAAGTGAAGGAATAGCTTAAATAATATGGACTGGAATTCTGAATAAAGAAGCTCTTAGGCAAATGTTGAATCGAAATCAAAGGGGCACTCAATTCATTTGTAAAAAGCCTAAAAGTGGAAACCACCAATGTAACGGGGAAATGAATTGTGGTATATTCATACACTAGAATACTATGTGGCAATAAAAAGGAACGAACTAGTGATATATGCTACAACATGCTGTGTTGAGGAAAAGAAGCCAAAGAGAAAGAGTACATACTGTATGATTCCATTTATATGAAGTTCAAAAACAAACTCATCTGTGGTGGTAGAAACCAAAACAGTAGGGGATAGTGACTGGAAAGTGGGGATGAGGGAGCCTTCTAGGGTGCTCTTTCATCTATTCTTGGGGTCTTGGACTGGATTGTGATTACAGATACACACATGTATAAACATTTATGAAACTCTACACTTCAAAAAATCTGCTGCTTACACCTTGGTCTTTTGTGTCTCTGCTCTCATACAAATATACCAAATAGCACTGGTAGCACAATCTGTGAATGCATCAGCCTAGGTATTACATGCATACCTCATTCAAGAAGGATTTGAGGTACTTTAAGTAGAAGTATTTCATCTCAGAAACATGGGCAGGCATGAAGCATCTTTATGCTAACCCGAGTCAGTCTGAACACTGTGACTGCAGACCTGGATTAAGTCTTACCTCTGGAATCCACAGAGCACAGCTGACATGAGCCCATTTAGACCCTGTCTTGGTAGTCTTCATGGCCCCACCTCTCTTTGGACATAAGATACATTGCGGATGAATGGCCAGGACACAGGGGCGACACAACCAGCTGCCTTCTGGGACCTTGAGGATGCCGTAGCAGGCCTGGAAGCAGAAGGAGTAGGGGAGGGGGGAGAATGGTTAACATCTTCTCAGCAGGTGGATGTCCTCTGACATATAGTCACAGAGCACCCTCTGCTTTTTGGCGAAAAGAGGCAAACAAAGCCAAACAAACTCATATCCAAGGATCTAGTAATTTAAAAACACCCCAAAAAGCAACGTTTAGCATCTGTTATAAGATCAGCATGTATTTGTGTCTAGGAATACTAACTTTAAAGATAACAGAATAAGACCAGAAGGAAATACACACAAAGACTAGCTCAATTGTAATGTGAGTGCTGAGATTATTGATCATGTGTGTGCGTGCCTGTTTTCTAAAACTACTTCAATGACAGTGTTATAATTACTGAGTCAATTAATTTATGGAACAGGTTCCACATGCCATGCACTACTATAATCCAGAAAAAAGTGTTAAAAAAAAGAAAAAAAGAAAGAAGCTTCTGAGGAGCAAATGAACTAGTGTTTATAAAGTACCTAATGGAGTGCCTGGTGCATAAAAAGCACTCAGAAAATCCAAACAATTATTTGCTTGAAGAAAAAGGGACTTGTGAATGAATCCTGAATTGAACAGATTATTACTTTAATCACAATACTTCATAATGAGTTCTGGATGCTGCTTCAAATCCTTTATGGAATGAAGTTAAAAACACAGATAAATGAATTGCTGGTGGAGGGAGGGGATACTAGTTTGGAAAACATTCTAGACTTCCTTTTCACTACCTTTAATTTCACCCATCTTCCCCTCTTTGCTGCTCCCTCTATCAGAGACTAAACCCGGGAACACCTGGCTTCCCATGTGGCCGGGCACTCTCCGCACCATTGACTGATTCACCACATTAGCTTCAGGGTCCTCTGCCTGGCTCAGGAGATTTACCCTCAGCTCATATTCAAGTTATAACAGTTATGCATCATGTTCCCCCCACCAGGATGCTTCCCCAAACTCTTCCTGTCCACATCACAATGCTTCCTATCTTTCAGATCCAAATTACTGGACTCATATTATCTACTTTTCTTCATCTCCTCTGTCCCTGAGGCTTGCTATTCCTTCCTAGAGTGGCCCCTAGCTTCTGACCTCCATTCCTATCACAATTACCCCATTCAAGTTCTCATCATCTCTTGCCTAGATTGATTTATTTCTAAATTCTATTCCTACCCCCATATATCTCCAACCCTTTATCTATCATATTTTTACTAAGACAAAGATTTCACACCACTGAACAGCAGCAAACCCTCCCGGGATTCCTTCTGCATCTGTTCCCTCCAAATCTAAAACAGGGGTTGGCACACTACTGCCTGAAGCCTGTTTTTGTATGGCCTACAAGCTAAGAATGTTTTGTTTTGTTTTTACATTTTTAAAGGATTATAAAAAATAAAAACAAAGAATACATGACAGAGACCCCATGTGGCCAGCACAGTCTAAAATATTTACTCTTTGACCTTTTAGAAAAAAAGCTTCCTGGCCACTGATCTAAACTCTGCTGCAACTCACCTCATCTATCTGCTCTCATGCCCCACCACACCCAAACATAGGGCCCTTCACTTGGACAGACCTGTTTTTTCTACAACTGATCTTTCTAATTCTTACCTCCAGGCATCTGGTTAAGCAGTTTCCATGCTCTACATTGTCAGCTTCTCTTTGCAGAGTCAGACATTTCTCACCTTTTAAGACCTGGCTCAAACTCCAAGCCCCTCAGAAAACCCTTCTCAGGCCAGTGTACAGCCCCTGGTGTCTGCTTCACCAGGTGTCTGAATCTTATTACCTGTGTGTAGTCAGCATCATGTATTCTCTACTCTTGCTGTTGCGTAAGTATCATCTCCTCCATGAGATTTTAAGGAGAGGGGGCAGGGCCTTTATCATCAATTTATATAGAATGCCCCTACGCTGAGCTCTAGTAGGTAGTTTGGTTGATGACACTGTTGTTAGCTGCTGTTGAGTCAGCCCATTATTCATAGCGACCCTGTATAACAGACTAGAACTGCTCCATGGAGTTTTCATGGTTGTAATCTTTATGGAAACAGATCGCCAGGCCTTTTCTTCCATGGAGCCACTGGGTGGGTTCAAACCACCAACCCTTCGGTTAGCAGGTGATCCCAAATAGCTTGTACCACTTAGGCTCTTCTGGTGGTTTGGTAGAATAATTTAATTTAGCTCAAGAATTGAAGCTGGAATCCAATCAATCAAGCTGTTCTTATGACAGTAACTATTTATAAGATTCTTAACTTTTAAAGTTTTTCTTTCTCTGAAGTCTAGAATTTTTGCTAAGAAATAAAAGCAAGCTTCCTCACTAATATAAACCCCTTTCAGACCAGCAGAAGAAAGGTCAGTGATCTGTTCCAGGAATTCCCTACCTCCTGGCCATTCTACTCAGCAGAAAACCATTTTATTAGTACTTCTGTAGACTTATTTAAGGTCCTGGTGGCATAATGCCTAATGCATTGGACTGCTAACCAGAAGTCTGGCAGTTCAAAACCACCAGCCACTCCTCAGAAGGAAGATTAGGCAATCTACTTGTGTAGTGATACCGTCTCGGAAACCCAAGGAGGGGCTGCTAAGTCGGATCCAATTCAATGGCAGTGAGTTTTTTTTTTTTAAGATGGTAAAAGCTTGTATTCCATGGCAGTCGTTCTCTGCATCACAAAATGATGAAGGCTGTGGACCCTTTTGAGAAAACTGCACACATGCATTTACGTATGTTTTACATATAATTTCAGGGGGTTAATAAAGTTAGTGCCAAAAATGATATGCATGACAGATATGAAACATATAATATGCACCTTGTACCTTCAGAAAAATCAATTCAGGCCTCAGTTTCAGTGTTCAATATCTAGGCTAAGAAGTAGAAAACGGATATACATGAAGGGACTTGGAATGGTCCCAACTTTCACAGTTTTGAATGAAAATTTAAGTTCATTGTTAAAATCTACTCCACTGATGTAAACATCTCTTCTAAAGTAGTAACCACAAGTGTATTATCGCCACTGAGGAAGAAACACTGAACATATTATGGTGACAGTAAAGAAGAAAAATTATATTT